CGATTCATGTCAGCTGAAAGATCTTGCCACACATCGGAGTCTGATTCATGTCAGCTGAAAGATCTTGCCACACATCGGAGTCTGATTCATGTCAGCTGAAAGATCTTAGTGGGGGAAGGGGGGGGTCTTTTATACCTGTTCTTTGTCCAAATAATAATTTATCTTAGAATTGTGGAAAAGATAAAGGAATATTTTGAGATGTGTCATGGCATAGAAATGCAGTGTCACCATGAATTTCGCGACAGCAAATGGATTTGGAGTTGAGGCCTTCAATTTAATTGACTCTGTTTACAAGGGAGATGGGAGGGAAGAGGGGGGCAAATATTGTTGTAACTGTTACTTGAGAAAATGTTTCTAGATTGACTTTTAAATCATGCGCAGATGCGCTTTGAAGTACCGACGTTTCAGTGCCTAAAGTTAATGAAACTTTGATGCTTTTAGTTTTATTCAGATGCCTTTGTTCTTTAAGTCACGCAAGGGACTGTTGTGCATTCTAGAAATACGCTTGTTAATTTCTCTTCAGAAATCTGAATCTGCATGCCTTTTATTTTTAACTTTGATATGAACAAATCCTTTTTTTTGGTCTGTTATGATGCCTTCTGTCTTTAATCTGCTAAAACTGTTTATTGTAACGGTTTCTCCACTGATTTTATGTTCACAGGCCTGTTTCCCAAGCTGAGAGGACTCTTGGTGACAAGGTTACATTCATTGTAAGTAAATCTGTAGAAGTGTAGTTCCAGATGTGTAGTTTCTCTGGGGGGGGTTGTGTCTTTGAAATTCGTCATGCGTATTGTAAGGCCAAGATGCTCTGTGGCTGGATCCCAATTTTATTTTTAAACCTTGGAATTGGCAACATTATCCTCAAGGCTGTTGGTAGGGAAGATTGTTTTATTGATTCTTTGCTTCATGATCTGGGCTCACTGGAAGTATGAATGGTAACAGATGTACCATTTATGACCTATTATTCACTTGAACCTCCCAAGCAATGCAATACATTTCCTTTCTTTTGATATCGAAGTTTCTTTTGTCATCCTTGACTTTTCATTGATTTTCAATGGCATGTGTGCAAGCTGGGTTATATATTTCATAAACATAATTTTAGCTTTTCGTATCCAGGAACAGCCTTTATGTAAAGTATGCTTTGCTCCTAGTGCTGTCCTTTTGTGTTTTCGTTTTTGTCTGCCTTCATGGAATTCACATTATTGTCATTGGTGGTTGGCAGGTGCTCTCTTGCTCCTTCTTTCCTATCAAACGTCTATCTTTTTCCTGTTTTGTGTTGGTTACTCTCTAGTAACACCTCTAATCTTCGGCACTTATATGACCTCTTGTTGCAAGTGCTGTAAAACTCCTAAAACATTGTTGCAATAGTGTTCGTAAAGATATGTAAGTGGGTGGTTGGCGGGTGCTCTTGTGTGGTTTGCTTCTTCTTTCCTATGAAACATCTATCATCCTTATCTCCCCTTCTTCTTTTTTATGTTTGTTACTCTCTTGTAACACCTAATCTTCTGGCGCTCATATGACCTTATGGAGCTGCGAGTGCCGTAAAACCTCTACTAAAACTAAAAGATATGTAAAAACTGGTATTGCTGTACTCCTTTGACCAACTTTTTGTGTGAGATCTCTATTTCCTATTCTCTATAACTGAAGTTTATTGTGTTTTTGCAGGTTGTGTTGTGTTAAGCAATTTTTCAAATTTTCCTCTCCAATATTGTTATTTGCAGAGCCCAGGTCGAGTTGTGTTTGCCAAAGTTGACAGTGATAAAGAAAGTAAGTGAATCTCAGAAGCTTTGTTTTTCTTCACCTCCTGCTTTCTGAAGATTGATTTTTAAGCCACTCTGTGTGGGTGGTTTGGTGGTGCTCTGGTGTGGTATGCTCCTTCTTTCCTGTTTAATATCTATCGTCCTTATATTATGATTATTTTCTCCAACTTCTTTTTTTGTGTTTGTTGCTCTCTTGTAATACCTTTATTCTTCGGCACTTATATGACCTAATTGTTTTGCAAGTGCTGTAAAACTCGTACTAAAACAATATATAACCCCCTGTTTGTTACAAAGTGTGACCTCAATGTCTGAGGTTTTCATTATGTTTTCTCACTACTGCTATTGGTCAAAGGACTGTTTGCTATTTTCCTGTCTTTTGAGCGTTTAGGGACGATCTTAGTGCCAGTGTGTTGTTTTTGTTATATAAAGCTTAAATCACAAAAATATTAAGACAGATTTTTCATAAGAAGAATATTCCCTTGTAAATAGAATTTTACCCCAGGAGATTTTTAAGCATGATGTAGTATTTTTATGTCCGTTAGATAGATAGCCTTTTAGACGGAACGTTATCGACAGCACACATAGTTCTTGTAGCAAGGTGCTGTTCTGAATGAAAATTCTCATGTTAGAGAATAGTGAAAACAACCCCCCCCCCCCCAAAACCAGAAAAAGTTTTACCACATGAGGTGGGTGGTTAGCTGGCGCTGTGATGTGGTTTGCTCCTTCTTTCTTACCTTACATTGATTGTCTTTATCTCTCCTCCTGTTTTCTTTGTATGTTACTCTCTCCATATTAATACCTCTAATCATTGGCACTTGCATGACCTAACTGTTTCTAACACCAAACTTTAACTGCTATGTGAGTTTAAATCTCAGTACTGTCCATGTTTTGTCCATAGCTGGTATCGCTGGGCGGTTCCGCATCAACAAGTACCCGACCATCAAGCTGTTTCGGGCAGGCAATGTGGTGAAGAAGGAGTACAGAGGGCAAAGGTCAGTGGAGGCTTTGGTGCAGTTTGCCAAGGATCAGGCCAAGGACCCAGTTGAGGAACTCACAACACTGGATGGCCTCGATGAACTGGATGTGAGTTGTGAACCCCCCCCCCCCCCCCCCCCAAAAAAAAAAAAAAGTTAAAAATTGCATGTTAGCATGAGATAAAGGTCAAAAGAAGTTATCATTGAAGTTAATCTCCCCTCTGTTGAAAGAACATAGTCTATTTTGCCTGGGGAATAGGATTTTGAAAAAAAAAACGTGGTTAATGTGGTTGAAATATAATTTGACTATTATGACGGGAAAGAAAACCCATTGTTCATTTCTATGAACAGTCTTGTTTTTTGTTTCAATGCAGAATGGGCAAGGCTGTTTCCATTTGGGTACCATGTCTGAGCTACCAATGCTTTATAATGACGTTGTATTTTCAGAGCTTGCTGCACATCCTTTATATGTGTTATGATTGTTTATACGAGATATAAATTGGCTCCTCAGAGAAATCTGTCTAGTTTGTTTTTAACCCTCTGTTGCAGTTTGATTGTTGATATGTGTTTTGAGTATGTATTACCCCCCGCGGCGATGCTACTGGCTGAAGTGTCTTTAGGCCATTCTCAAGGGGGGGGGGGGACATTATCATCTCGAGTTCTTATGCACAGTAGAATTGTAATTGTATATCATATGGGCTGCTTCATCAATGTCATGTTCATAACTGTACCTGAACTACAACAGGGAACTGCTGCTTTTTCTTTCCTAATCCTTACTATCGTCATTTTTCCTCTTCTTCTTTTGTATGTTAGTTACACTCTTGTGACCCGCTACTTCTGGGGTGGCTTGGTAGTCGAAGCAGACTTTGTGCTGTTGAAGCTAGAGAGGTGAGCAGAGTAAGTCTGATTTCCTGTAAAAACTTCTCTGTTGACCCCCCCCCTTGGCCCTCATATGACCGTATGCAGTTGCGAGCGCCGTAAAACCCTCTACTATAAAAAAACCCAACAAAAAAGACTCTACTAAAACTAAAACTGAGTATGTATATGAAAGACTGATTAGAGCAGTAGTTTCTCTACTTTTTTTCAAAGCTCCTGTTGAATGCTTTGTATATTTTATTGGAAAGGTTTGTGTCAGTTGTTTCTTCCCTTACTACTGGTAGCACTGTCTTTGTTAGTGAAGAAAGACCCATCGTTGTTTTGTCATTTCAGTCCAAGAAGCGTCATGTTGTTGGATACTTTGAGTCCAAGGATTCAAACAGCTATTGGTCATTTACAAAAGTAGCCAGTGTGCTTCGGGATGACTGTGCTTTTCATGGTGCATTTGGGTAAGTTTGTAAACAACTGTTGATTTTGTTAGACAGAGAAAGGGTAAAAGTTTGTTTGCTCTGAATAGCAGGTGTAACTTTGGATATTGATGCATGGCTTGTATTATTTATTATTATCAATTGAGTGTATTTTGATATAATTTCTTTTCTTTTTCCAAATAAAAACAAATAGTGCAAAGGTTTTGTTTGCCACACATCGGAGTCTGATTCATGTCAGCTGAAAGATCTTGCCACACATCGGAGTCTGATTCATGTCAGCTGAAAGATCTTGCCACACATCGGAGTCAGATTCATGTCAGCTGAAAGGTCTTGCCACACATCGGAGTCTGATTCATGTCAGCTGAAAGATCTTGCCACACATCGGAGTCTGATTCATGTCAGCTGAAAGATCTTGCCACACATCGGAGTCAGATTCATGTCAGCTGAAAGGTCTTGCCACACATCGGAGTCTGATTCATGTCAGCTGAAAGATCTTGCCACACATCGGAGTCTGATTCATGTGAGCTGAAAGATCTTGCCACACATCGGAGTCTGATTCATGTCAGCTGAAAGATCTTGCCACACATCGGAGTCTGATTCATGTCAGCTGAAAGATCTTGCCACACATCGGAGTCTGATTCATGTCAGCTGAAAGATCTTAGTGGGGGAAGGGGGGGGTCTTTTATACCTGTTCTTTGTCCAAATAATAATTTATCTTAGAATTGTGGAAAAGATAAAGGAATATTTTGAGATGTGTCATGGCATAGAAATGCAGTGTCACCATGAATTTCGCGACAGCAAATGGATTTGGAGTTGAGGCCTTCAATTTAATTGACTCTGTTTACAAGGGAGATGGGAGGGAAGAGGGGGGCAAATATTGTTGTAACTGTTACTTGAGAAAATGTTTCTAGATTGACTTTTAAATCATGCGCAGATGCGCTTTGAAGTACCGACGTTTCAGTGCCTAAAGTTAATGAAACTTTGATGCTTTTAGTTTTATTCAGATGCCTTTGTTCTTTAAGTCACGCAAGGGACTGTTGTGCATTCTAGAAATACGCTTGTTAATTTCTCTTCAGAAATCTGAATCTGCATGCCTTTTATTTTTAACTTTGATATGAACAAATCCTTTTTTTTGGTCTGTTATGATGCCTTCTGTCTTTAATCTGCTAAAACTGTTTATTGTAACGGTTTCTCCACTGATTTTATGTTCACAGGCCTGTTTCCCAAGCTGAGAGGACTCTTGGTGACAAGGTTACATTCATTGTAAGTAAATCTGTAGAAGTGTAGTTCCAGATGTGTAGTTTCTCTGCCTTCTGATGATCTGCACAGGTTTTTTTTTTTTTCTCATTGTTAATAGTCCTATTCAGTACGTTCATGATCTTTGTTCTCAACAGAGGACTCGTGCACTGATAAAATTTTGTACTTTTTGTTTTGTACCACGGAGCAAATGTGAGGCGTACTGGCAAAATGTGTTACGTTTTAGATTTTAACAGAACTGAAATAGATACATCAAACTGGTCATTGTATGAAATTATAACAGTTATGTTACACTTGAAGAAAATGGCATCAATTTAAGATCTACAAAATGACCCAACGTTTTGACCTTTGCTGGTTTTCAATTGCGATCAGTAACTCATTGTTTTTCTGGAAGCTGTAATTCTGAGATAAGACATTTGTTCACCTACTAATTTAGATATAACCTTGGGATTTTTGTTTTTCAGAATAAAAGCCAGCGTAGTGAGTACTCTGGTGCTCCCGTGGCTCAGTTTGATTTGCTTTTCAAGTGGACAACCGAAAACTGTATGCCTTTGGTGAGGGAGATCACCTTTGAGAATGCTGAGGTATGTCCTTAGGGTAGTGTTGGCTTTGACGCTTGTCTTGTGCTCTTGTGTTTGAAGATGATGTTGTTTGGTTTAATGTAGATCGTATCTGTCAGGAGGGAGAAGGAAGATAATGTCACAGGGACTATCTTCATACTAGTGAATGATGACAGGTCTTTTCTGTGAATCCTTGGAGGGTTTTTTTTCCGGGGGGGGGGGGGGGGGGGGGTTTGCTTTTTGGGTTTTTTCTCTAACCAAATTAATGGTATTTATTTTTTAAATTAGTTCTATCCTTTAGGTTTTAAACTCTACCGAAAGGTTTTAATAAAATATGCAGAGTAGTGACTGTAGTCTTATTTGCCAAAATGGAATTCAATTTGGGGGAAATGTGGTCTCATGGTGGAGCATAGGTGGGTATGGTTGGATACACAACACAGACAGGGTTGCTCACCTCTAAATCTAAAAAATTTATGTAAAATCTGTGTGAGCACAAATCGCTTTTAGTACCATCTGCGACTAAGTGCCAGGGCGTAGTGTGCGCTCATTACCACTGGCATCTTTAGTCGCCAACTTGACCAGGCACACTTAACATATTTACACAACGAACGAACCACTTCACTGAAGTAAAATATCAAAGGAAGTCGCTCGATATAACAACTGAATGGTTGATGAACCTTTATGCCATTTTTAAAGCTTGTTTCTTGGTCTGCAAAGTTTTTTTTGATAAAAAAAAAATTCTACCATAGCTTCAGCGTTCTAAACTTGGATGGTACTTGAGGGTTTTTTTTACTATATGAGTCTTCGGTACTGTACTGTAAGTGTTAAATATGGTAATGAGTTGAATTCCTTTAGTTTCTGAATTTATTTGACTAAGAAGTGACATAATTGATTTTAATGAGTTCTTTTTGTTTTCTGCATCTTTCCCTTTCCTGTGATAATTTAGTTGCATGTCATACTAATGAGACTTCAGCATTTTTTATTTTTTTTTAGACCCCATGTTGTCATGTTTTCCCCTTGTGAACTCTGCCATGAATCACTCAGAGCACGTATTATCCTCTGGACTTGTTTATTATTCACAGGAGTTAACAGAGGAAGGACTGCCGTTCCTTATTCTGTTCCACCACCCAGATGATGCAGAGAGTGTGGACTTATTCAACCAGGAGGTGGCAAAGCAGATAATGCATGAAAAAGGTATGATCAGTAGATTAGGCATTCATGTACGACATTACTTTTGTGTATTATTTCTGCTTTCTTTCTCATTTCTTCTTTTGTGTTTGCTTTTGCTTTTTTTCCCAAATGATCTGTCTTTGAAGTGATCTGTTTTGTGATTAGTTTGTGGATGTTTGGAGAGGGACAGGAAACTGGTACGTTCTGTCTTTTCCTTCTTTCTCTACTGCTTTTGCTTGTCAATCTTGATTTTTCCATTGGTTAAATGGCCACTGTTGTGTATATGTGTTGCCTATGCTCAAACACATCAAACGTGTTTAGCGTGGCATTTGAACGAATAAAAACAAATTTTAATCCCTTTTTTTGCTCTTGTTTCCTTTCAGTCAACATCAATTTCCTGGTGGCAGATGGACTGAAGTTTGCCCATCCCCTGCATCATCTTGGCAAGACGATAAACGATCTGCCAATTTTGGCCATTGATAGTTTCCGTCACATGTACCTTTTCCCCCATGATGTGAAAAAAGATTTATCGTAAGCATCTTCATCTTCCTTAACCGTTTCTCTGTTTATACTGGTTACTTGATTACTTTGTTCCATATTAGTGCAACAGAGAGAGCCAATGGAACATTACTGAGCATAAACATTTTCGGAGAAGAGAGAAAATAGTATCGGATATGCTCTCTTCTAATATTATATGTGAGGCATCGTGGTGGAATCAGGCGCTAGTTAAAATAATGAGTTTAAAGAAAACACCATTTTTTCCTCTGAATTTTTTTCGAATTTTCTTTTTCTGGCTCAACACTTGTTATGCCTATTTAAAAACCTATTCTGTGTAGGTTTATCCTAAAAATGTTGATCAAAGGCGCATAAAATATAACTTTGTAGTTTCCAAGAACCCCCAATCTTTGGAAGTCGCCATACTTTGGCGTTTATTTCTAATTTCACCTTTTGGCTCCAGGCGACCCCCCACCTTCTTCAGCCATACATATATCGACTTCTAATGAAGATAGATGGATATTTTTTATACTAAAACTAAAAGCAAGACTAGTAGACAAACTTAAAGATGCTACCAATAACTCCACATGTCCCAAAAAATTTTTTATTGACGAGTGCCTCAATCCTCTAAGTCGTGACACTTATTGTCTTTCTTTGAGATGTTCAATTCTTAACTTTCCAGTATATGCCAATTGTATCAGTGTTTGCTGCACTGTCAGAAATATGTGAGGCAGCGTGGTAAAATCAGGCACTGGTCAAAATACAGTTTTGAAATTTTTATCGAATTTATATTTTTGGTTCAATCTCTTTTATGTCCTCATTAAAACGTATTTCCCTTTGACTTTTACTGAAAAACAATGATTAAAAAGCACAAATATGTCCTTTTTCTGTTTTCAATTACTCTAGCTATTGGAGTTACCAAATTTTGACGGCCATTTTCTCACTAATTTCACCACTGAAGCGAGACGAACTTAACTTCCTTCAATTGCAGATATCTTGAGTTCTATTCAAGATAGATGGATATTTATTTCATTGGAAGCAAGGCAAATAAATAAGCTTTCAGATGATGCCAATAAATCCACATGCCCAAAAATTGACGAGCGCCTGATTCCAATGGGTAGTGACACATATTAAAAGGGGCTTTTGTTTTTTTCTTGCTGTTGCCCTACGTTCATGTGTTTATTACTGGGTGGTTTATGTTATGCAAGGTTTTTTTTCGCTTAGAAGCATTACACTATTATTAATGCTTTGTATTTGCAAATGTTTTTGTCTTTAATGTGTGTGTGTGTGGGGGGGGGGGGGGCAGATTAGTGTGTGTGTGTATGTACGTGTATTGTTAAACGGTCTCCCAATGAACATTACCTATCTTTTTGATTTGTCAGCTGTATTGAATGATAATTCTGCAGTGCACTGCATTTAAAACCTTTCAGGGAAAAGGCGGTGTATATAAATTTTAACAAATTGACATTGCTTTTGTTATTCTGAACAGAACACCTGGAATTTTAAAGCAGTTTGTGGAAGACCTGCACTCTGGCAAGCTGCACAGAGAGTTTCACCACGGGCCAGATGCCACCACACCACCCCCTCCACCTCAGATTGAGGAAAAAGTTGATCCTGATGCTGTAAGTTTCCTGGGCAAGCTGTTAGATTTGAAATGTCAAATTCTTTCAAATGATTGGTGTTTCTTGTGGTCTAATAGGTAAAGTGGGGGTCCTCTTAAACTGATATCTGCGGGGCCACTGGATTTTTTGTTGTTGGTATAGCAGGGTTTTTGATTCCGAGAGTGTGTTCAAATGGAAAAAAAAACCTTGAGGATTTTATTTTATACCATACTCGGAGTTGTTTTAGCCTTGCTCTTTCAGTAAAATATATCCTTACACGTGAACTATAGGCCTAAACTGATGATATCTCACACGTGAAAGATGAAAATTTGCCTTAATTACTGTGCGCACTATATTCGCCTTCTAACCATTTGTAGGCAAAGTATTAAAGTATATAGACTTGAATACCCCCCGGGGCAGTGCCACTGACTGTAGTGTCTTTAGGCCTTTCCCAAAGGGGGGGCATTTCTCGTTCAAGTGCAGTAGAAAATGGGCTGATTTATGTCACGCTCATAACTGTGCCTGATCTACAACAGGGAACTGCTGCTTTTTCTTTCCTAATCCTTACTATTGTCATTTTCCTCTTCTTCTTTTGTATGTTTGTCACTCTCTTGTGACCTGCTATTTCTGGGGTGTCTTAGGTCACCAAAAAGCTTTTTTTTCCCATCTGTCTCAGAAGTACATTCTTACATTTGAGTTCTTTATGTTGCTAAAGGCACAGTAGCCTACAACACTTGGATTCTTTTTGTTTTGGAGCCATTCCTTTGTTGATTAGTAATGTTGACACTGTTTCTGGAATTGCAAGAACGACATGTTGATTTCCTTCTCACCAGAAAAACATTCCACGTGACACAAGCGATGAGCCCAAGGTTCAAGCACCCCAAAAGATCACATCACCCCCAGAGTCTACATTTAGAAAGCTGGCCCCCTCAAGAAACAGATATACGATTCTACGAGACGAACTTTGAAGTAGACAACTGTTTATTTGTGTCACAACCTGTTGGCTCAGAATGTCAGTTTTATTGAATGGTGAACGGTGTTTTTTATTTTTTTCCCCCTTACTTTGATGAGGTGATCATGAAAAGTAAAAGATTGTGTTTGAATGAGAAGGATGGCATTGTTCTGTCGTGTTTTTTAAATGCGACGGAACGACAAATGAAATCTTGGAGAAAAGACAGTGTGGAAATCAGCTTGCTTGCATGTCTATTTGTTGTTTTGTACACCTGTTTATGTTGACATGTTTACAAAGGCAATGTGAAAGGATATGCAGTGGCTGATGTAAGAATGCAGGCTTGAGCTCTATTAAAGTTATTTGATGTGCTGTTTGCATGAAAATACGTTTTTAATATGTGCTATTTTAAACCGCTCGTCATTGAATTTGTCTTTGCATGAATGCAATTTTTCTTTTTCTTTTTTTTTACTTATTTATTGGAGGCAGTAAGCTGTTTGGTAATCCTTTCTTTTTTTTTTTTTTTTTACTTTCTCCTTGTCACAAAAGGATTTTTTATTTGCATACTCTCACTCCTTTATTCATTGTAAAGAACTGCGATTGAACATGTAGTGCTGCTGCTACTGATGGTGTTTTGGGTCGATCTGCTGGCTGGTCTGTTTGTATGGGTACATTTTGCGTCTTTTAATTTTAACTTGATCCATGAATTTGGAAGTAAATTGACTCTGTGTGACTCTTTTTAAAATTATCACTTAGAAAATCATACAGCTCCTAAAAAATTGGGGCCCTGATTAATGAATAAGAATAATTTGTCTATGCTTGTGAGGAAGTTATTAATTGCATTTGGCTGTAGCTATTTGTTGTTTTGACTAGCTTGCAATGTTCCCTCGAAAGCTGAGCAAGAAAAGTTAATAAACGTGAGACATCAATTCTAAAGAAAATGAATTCTAGCCTTATCACTATTACCTTTGCCTGATTTCTCGCCCCTGAACCTACTTTTGTTTAAGCTGTGATGCCTAAGAAATAGAAAAAATTGAGAAAGTACCAACTGCCTGTTATTGAATTAGTACTTGGCTGCTTGGATGATACAAAATAAAAGGTAAACTGTCTCAGCTTACTAAACTTACATTTGCTTTTTTGTATCCTGCAAACTCCGAGATAATGGTCACTCTAAATTTGGAGTGATGGCCATTTGGGCGATTTTTGTACTTCTGTCACAATAATTATTGGACAGGAGTTCAGGGGCAGGTGTGCTGGTGGGACGAAGGAATGTGAATTGCACAGGGGTGTTTAACACTTTGCCGTCATATTTTGGGGAATATCCAAAGAAACTGGGTGGTAAACATCGCCAATCAGCGAGATGAGGCGGCAAAGTGTTAAACAAAGCATGTTGTGCAGACCATGGTATTTTTGTTCTCACTTTCAGTTGTAGTGTGGTTTATCAAGACTGGTTAAAGGGTATCAGAATATTCTTTTCTTTTTGTGACTTGACTGTTGTGTGTGTCACATTCAGGTGTGATTGGTCTTTTTTTCTGCGTTAAGCTTATCAATAATTTAAGGAGAATTTCTTTTACATGTCTGTTTGTTTCAAAATGTTTCCTTGTTTTCGTGATGTCTTTTAGGATCCTTTATTCATTGTATATTCCTAAACGTTTTACAAGTGCTACATCGATTCTTTAAGTTGTATGCTGGGAGTCTTTCTCCTGAGGCAGAAAACATTTGATTTGAGCCATCAAGTTCTCTCCATTTTCTTTTTACACTTTTTCATGTTTTTTTTAAAGAGGATCTCTATGATACTTTTTGCCCTTTTGAGAGTCTGTGTACCTTTGTGTATCTATTTCTCTCATGTAACACAATGTCTTTAATGTACCTCTGCAGTTATTTCACTTCAAAAGTTATATGTGTGTTTTTTCTTGCACTGTATCCTGGCATTGTATGTTAAGGATCTGGGTGCCCCGTTGCACAATCAAACAAACTTTCATCTCGTTCACATTATCTGCCAGGCAATACTTCTGCTATTTTTTATTTGCAGCTAGAATTTTGTGTTGTATGCTATGTGTTGGAAAGGAGGGTGGTGGAAAAAAGGGGGGAAGGGAGCGTCACTTGTGCAGATTTGTTTTGAATGAGCAAATCATTTTGGAGGGGAGGGTGGAAGCATTTCATCTTGTATAAATATGCTCCCTGGCACTTAAAAATAGTCTTCTAGTGGTGTTGTTGTTTCTAGACTCCTTTTAGTTAATATTTACATGCTTTGCGCTTGTTTGTAATGTCTCTGTTGGTAGATTTCACTTCGTTGGGCCGCTGCTTGCATTTGGTTAATTTGTTCAATTTCTTTTAATCATTGATAGAATGATTTTGTTCTGCCTGGGACCTATTGCCTTTTTAGTGTTGATAGTGCAAGGAACTGTCCGCTCAATCTCGAAACTGTTTGAAGTTAATGTTCATTAAAATGAATCACTGGTAAAGTGGAATAGCATTAATGACTCTTGCTCCCTTATTTGCTCTAATTGTGAAAATAATTTTCTGCTTTTCTAGCCCTTCGCAATGCTATATTGCTTTTTGTTTTATGAATTGCAGTGCCAGATTGTGATAAAATAGTTTTGTATTGGAGGATAGTAGTATTATCACCAGAAGATACAAGTACTGCTTTTAAGCATGATCATTGCAAAAGAGAAAAAAAACAAAAACAAAAAAGATAGACCCAAACTAGAGCACATAATCAATATATGAAAGGATTTTGTTTTCTTGTATCCTTCATGGACTTAAGGTCATTCATGTTGTGCAGCTGATACTTTGTGTTTTCCTACTGTTTTCCCCCCTCTCAGTCACTGAGAATGGAATAGACTCTACCCACTCTGCTGCTCATGCTCTGTTTGTGTGCAAAAACTCTTTTGCTCTATACTTAACTACTCTTTGCTGACCAACATTACTATTCGGATACTGATGGCTTCTTCATGTATGACAATGACTCATGCAAGCGTTTTTGGGGATGTGGGCATGCTGAGTGAAGAGTGAATGAAGAAGATTTTAAATTTGTTTCAAATGTGCGGAAGTTGATGGTGTGCATTTCTGTGTTCTTTCTTCAGATGAAAAATGAAATGCATTGTATTTGTTTTGATGTATATAGAAGAACCAAATACTAGGGTATTGAATAGTTGATGTTTCTGTAGTGTCCATTACATGTAATATTCGCATTATCAGCAGTGTAGGTGTAAGTCTTGGTCGTCAGAATTTTGGGATTGTCTGTGAGACGTGAGAGTCCATGAGTCCACAAGAGTCTGCCCCAGATTTGATGACGACTTAAGTACCAGCACATAGTTGAGGGGTGAGCCCTGACATTGGCTAACAGCTCTGGTTGTAACTTCATTACTATTACTGCATTTTTTACTGTTTTGCTGTTTGTAAAGGGCTACACCACGATTGTGAAGACTTAAGTATGGAGAATTTAGCTGTGATACATGAGCATTTGACTACTCCAGGAACGTGGAAAAAAAAAAAGACACTTTTTTGTGATCCAAAAGCAGAATACATGTGCGTGTTAGGATATGTCGTCTACTGGTTGGTTGCTGGTCCATGAGTTTTTCTCTTCTTTTTTTTCTCAGTATGTTTGAAATGCCGAAGAAGTGGTTGTAGGTACTGTGTTCATCCTTTGTTCATTTTGGTGGTATTTTTCGAATATGTTAGTTAATATTCAGATGCTGTTATTATTTCTCGGTGTAGCATCTCTAGCAGAGAGCAGTACACTTGTAGACCATTGGCAATGGGAACGTCTTCAGATTTTACTTGTGAAAACTCTCTCATTGATACTTGAGATTGTGTTCAGTGAAAATGATGGAAGGAAACTTGGATTCAGCTTGCTATTTCATTCAGGGCTGTGAGATGCTTGGAAGTAAAATAAACTCGCAGTGAAGATCTCCGTATTTATCCAGACTGTGAAGGCTATGGGATCTGTGAATGTTGTAACCTACCACCATACCAGCAAAGACTTGGTACATGTAGAATAATTTATGAGTTGTACTTGCTCATGCATGGCCATATTTTTGCCTGCTGACCAGTGTACCATTTGAAATTAAATCATTCTTATGTCGCTTTTTTCAACTCTAAAAGTGGTTTTCATTCATTTATGTTGCATTTTTTTTTCTTTAGTTTTACATCATGTACTCGTATATTAGTGACTGTGTGGGTTTAACACCTAAAGCGTGTTAGTTAATTTCATAAATAACTCTATCTCCGATGGGAATCCGGCTGAGTCAAGTGGGCAGAAAGTTTTATAAACTCCCTAGACAACTCAAGTTCAAGATTGAAGAATGCACCATTAGGGTCTTGAACCAGGTCATCTGCACCTTGGCCAAGAATGATACGAATTAATGGTGTGCAGCTGTACGGTACCTGTATGGATGTGATTTTGGACTGCAGGTCTCCATTTGCAGTTGTAAAATTCTCTTACAGTACCTTGTCGTGGGTGGCTGGCGGGTGCTCTGGTGTGGTTTACTTCTTTCCTTTCAAACATCTATCGCCTTATCTCTCCTCCTTTTTTGTGTTTGCTACTCTCTTGTAACACCTCTATTCCTCGGCACTTACGCGACCTTATTGTGTTGCAAGTGCTGTAAAACACTTACTAAAACTTAAAAGAGTACATTGCCCTTTACTGAACAGCGTTTGAGGAAATGATTAAATCTGACATCGAAGCAGTTGCGAGTGCCGTAAAACCTTACTAAAACTGACTAAATCGGACATCATATTCGTACTACTGGTCAAAATTGGATTCGAAAACAGCGAATATTCGGGACTTATTTGACCTCAGTTTGTCAGCTCCCGAGATATAACAAAACCCGGACCTGTCGTGTCACTTCTGTTTGCTCAAGGCAAAGACTGGTAGTGTTGTGCGATGTGTCGCCAATCACTTCGCCTTAGCTCATTTTCTCTTTAAAAAAAAAAAAAAGATCTTCTCGCTTCTCGTGAAATAGTGGGGGTAGACAACGAGCGGCTCAAAAAGTCCCATCAATTTTTTCATAACCCCCCCCCCCCAAAAAAAAAAAACTAACATCGGCGGTACATGAACGAGATATCATATGGAAAGAAGTAGGCGTGGAGCTGTTCATTGATGGTGATTTTAATTTCGACATTTTCCAGGATTTTAATAAGAACCTGGCCGGGGGGGGGGGGGGGGGGGGGGGGTGAAATTGTATTTTTATGATAGAGATGATGAACCTTTAACTCTTTCTCTTCTTTGTGGGGTGGGAATAGATCAAAGGAAAAGGGGTTTGGAGGAGGGAGAAAGAGAAAGTGGACAGAAAACAACCAAATTTTAAATTATACTTTATATAGTATAGTCATCATCGCTCTGTGTTTGGCAGAAATTGTTCTTTCCTCAACAAAACGAAGTACCTTCATGCTGACGTCCACATGGGTGAAATAGGTAGGCTACTCCAACAAACTGAAGCATGGTGGTGGTTTGAACCCAAGGTCCCCTGTCAGTTACCGTTCATCTATCGACCCAAAGAGTGAAAGACGGACAGACTTTAAGTAAGAGTTTTGAGGCACTTGCAACAAAATAAGTTCGTATAAGTGACGAAGACTAAAGGTGATACAAAAGAGTTACAAACACAAAAAGGAGGAGGGGGGAGAAAAGGACTACAGATGTTCGATAGAGAAAGAGGGAGCAAACCACGCCGGAGCACCCGCCAACCACTCACGGACGCGAATGTTTGGTCTGGGTATGCCTTTACTGTACGTAAACAAGTCGTATTATTAAAAACACAGAAGTTGGATCAGTGCTCAGAATATCTTTCCTTAAAAGAGAAGAGCCTTTTTTTTCTCTTTAAATTTAATTTTTGCATCCCCATGAGCACAATATTATTTTGATCATTCAGTAAGTCGGCTTCCGCAGACCTGCCACTCATCCCGATTTAGCCGGGATCTCCCGATTTTTTGCCCCAAATCTCAAGCATCCTGATTTTCCCGATTTCGATCGCGTGTGTCCCGATTTTTTGTTCCAGTCCGCTGTTGTGCCGGATTTTTCTAAAAACTTACTCTGCCTTCTCCTCCTTTATCGCGGGAAGCACCCGTTGAACTTTTTGTCAGTAGAAACTCGGAGCACTGTTTCTCGAAATATGGATGCCGCATTTAGTAGCTGACTCGCCCCAAGTTGTGTTAATCTTTGCCCGCACTCAGAATTCTCCGATGATAGCCTGGTAACTATTACAATTTATTTGGAACATACAAATAATCGATAATATTCGTACTTCCGCTGTTACTTTCAAAACAAGCCTTGTCCGAGGTCTGAAAAATGCGCGTTCACACCAAAGACTCAGACGAGCGACAGTCTTTCTAACCCTTACACAACTACATGTAACTGCGCTGACAAGACTAATACTAACATACGGCCGTTATCGTTGCTTTAGTCTGAACGCATTTTGAGGGATAAGAGATTTTTGTTGGTACAATTGGTCGGTCGGCCGCCGTTGTTATCCTAGAGTACTAGAAGTAGAACGACTGTCGCTCATCTGAGAGTTTTGTGTGAACGCGCAGTTAGTCGGACCCGTTAATAAAATTGTTTCAATCAGCGCATTTGCGTCACGTGACATGACATCGCTGTGTGAGTTCTGCGTGTCGGGGACCGTCCGTTGACGGGGTCAACTTAAGTTCATGTATTTCTGGACTTATTGGTTGGGGTGGGGGGGTATAGACACTTGGACTAGGAGTGCTTGACGTGATGCTTCAGGATTTACACACAAAAAATGATAACTCGCACGCACGCGCGCGCGCACACACACACACACACACACACACACACACACACACACACACACACACACACATACACACTCAGAGGGCATATAGGCCAGTAATTTACGGACACCCCTGGAAAAATTTTAAGTCAGCTGTGGCAGTCACCTTGGTGATTTGCTGTTGATCCCGATTTTTTTCACCAAATCCTGATTTTTGATCCCTGAGATCCTGATTTTGAGGTTTCATAGAGTGGCAGGTCTGGCTTCCGACCTTGCCTGTGAGGGTCATACCGGGCTGAGAGGGATACATCCCATCAGGAAAAAAACAACAAGGTATGTGAGTAGGCAGCGTGGTGGAATCAGGTCCCCTTAAAAATAATCAAAGTGAAGAAACTTGCTTTTTTTCCGGAGGTTTGTAAATTTGTATAAATTTTTTTTTTTTTGGCTCAACACCTTTTATGCCCATTAAAGAACTCATTTCTGTCTGGGTTTTTCTGAAAAGTTTTGATTAAAGACAGAAAAAAGTAAATTTTCAGTTACACCAGACTCTTAAGCTAAGAAAATAACTAATCTTTGGCGGCCATTTCCTTACTAATTTTACCTCTGAAAACAGGTGACCCACACCTCCTTCTTTCGCAAATATCTCGAGTTGTATTCAAGATAAATTGATATTTTTTTTCATCCAAATAAAGACGAGTGAACAAGCTTGAGGATGATACCAATAACTCTACATGCCCAAAATTTGACAAGAGCCCGATTCCACCACGCTGCCTCACATATTATTTTGATCATTCAGTAAGTCGGCTTCCGACCTGAGGGTCATTCCGGGCTGAGAGGGATACATCCCATCAGGAAGAAAAACAAGATATTATTTTATTAAAAAGTCGCCTCTTTCGTGAATCGAACTCGGGTCCCTTGCTTGCGCCAGCAAAACGCCTAACCGTTGTACATTGTACCACAGACGCTGACAAGACAGGTTCGAAACGGAAAAGAAAAAACACAACCGGACAAAGCTGATGGTCAATGGTAGTATTCTGCAAGAATAAGAGGGGTTCTCTCTCTTCCCACCTCCCCGCCACTACTCTGTATAAATATTCACCACCCGTTAAGTCCCTGTCCCGCCTATCTTTCCCATCTTTTCCAAGAGGGGGGGGGGGAGGGGGTTATCTACTACTACTAGAGAATCTCTAAACACAGCACAAATTCTCCCTTCTCAATCAAATACAGTACACCTTCAAGTTAACAACAGACAGAACTGAACCACCCATCTCTTGAAACAGCAACATTAACGAAAACAGTACAGAAAGAATCCTTTTGAAGTTTGCCGCCGCACGGGATTAAACTTTGTGCAGAATTTTAACAACAATTATGGTAGTAAAAAATAAATTGATTTCATTTTTGGAATCAGTATCAAAATAAATAAAGTGGCTCGCTGCGAATCTGATTTGATTCCATATCCAAGCTTTCGTAAACTTTTTTGCTGTATTAAATTGTCAATAATTTTGAATCTGAAGTCATGTATCAAGGTCACCCACTGTGGTGTGCATCTCTGAGGTCAAAGCTTTCAAACTCGCACAGTCACTGTACAATGTACAGAATTGGTAGGCTACTTTGGTGGAAAGATCTATAAACAAAATATATACATGGATGTCAGTCCAATTTCAGTGTTCTGTTTGTGTATTCACATTTTTAAAGTTTAATTCACTACTTAAAAATCTCAAGATTAAGACCATTATGCCTACCGGAGGTTTGAAAGGTATGCATTGTAATTGCTTTTTCCCGAAAGTGGGAATACAAATCTCCACCGCGCGAACCGTTGTCTCAGTAACAGTTGGTATCATGCGGGACTAAGGAGCGGATGACCCTGGCCCAAAATACCACTGGAACGATCTGAACTTTAGGGTTTTAATTTCGGGACTTTTTATGGCCCTCCATCCAATCATACTCCATGCATCAAAAACCAGACTTGGTCTTGTCGGAGATGGACGCTGAATTGGGAGGTCCCGCCTCTTAAATTACTTTGTGGTGTTGAAAGGGGCGTTAAATCTATACAAGTGGGTTTTTGGCGGGTGTGGTTTGATGTGGTTTGCTCCTTCTTTCCTATGTGTTTGTTATTCTCTTGTGACAGCTATACCAGGAACACAGCAATTTTTTTTTTACCTGACCATGAAGGAATAGAAGCAGAAAGCTGAAACTTGGGGTGAAAACCAACAATCATCTTCCTAGAAATAGAATGCATGTACATTTTGGGAAATTTCCGATGCCTGGTTTTAACACCAGAGCACTGTAAGTGGATGGGGGTACTTGTATGTTGTTGTACAGTTTCAACATTACAATGGTGGAAATTGAGCACATGGCAGGTTTTGCGACAGGAT